CCAAAAACAGATTTCCTGTGCTAAAAAATATTCTGTGGCTTTGTGCCATATGTAGACCCAAGGCTATAACTTTGCCAACCTTTAATCAGCCAAAGGACAATAAAAAATCTTTCTCTTTGATTTAAGAATTATTTTGTGAAAATAATAATAAGAATTTGGAACTTGACACTAGTAACATGGTATATATTGTTTTATGACTACTTTAGGACCTCTGGTTTTAAATTAACTTTAGATCTGCAAAAACAAAGGAGTTTATCAATTGTTCACTGGAAACACAGCACTGTGTAAAAAAGTTTTAAAAAAAGTTTGCATATGACAAGACTGAACAGCAGACACAAGTATTAGAATTGAGATGATGTAATAACTCTAGCCATGGCAGAAATAAGGAAGGTTAATAATATAATGGACTTTACCATATATTCTGTAAAAGCCTGTAACTTGATCTAATGCATACAGTATTTCTCACTGGCTGAGCTCTGGTCTTGTTGTGCTGAGACAGTTAGCTCCAAAATAAATTTATATTTCTCACTAATAATGGTGCCTTCACAATTTTGAAAAATATAGAAAGATAACACCATCTGCCTAATTTATCCAAATTGCCCGAAATACATTTTCCCCTCTTTTGCTCTTTTCTAATGGTTCAAACTATAAGAATAGTATGTTCCTTCAGTTATAGCAGTTTTGAAATGATAACTGTGTCAATGCCCAACATACCAATTCAACTGTTTCCTTTGGCATTATTTTAACATTTCTAGGAGTAATCCTTCTCTTGCATCGGTTTAGCATTTTTAAGCCCGGGATTATTCTTTGTTTGAAGCCTGTTGGTCTTTTCTTTTATTTATTTATTTGTGCTGCCGGAGCTACAATTTACTACAATTTACTGTAAAGCTTTTGACTGCCATCCCTAAGATCCTTGGCAACTACAGTAAGTGCAGTTCTGTAATCCTTGGTCAGTACATTGATTCCCACCACCATTTATGTTGGACTGTATTCCACTGCACAACTCCCAAAAATATTACAATAAATGATGAAGTTAAAGGAAAGGTGTTTGCATGGTTGCCTGACTTGATTTAAGTTTAGCTGAGGCCCTTTTTGAGCTGAAATTTCTCTGGTTGCTCCAGTTTCCTTACCCTCCTCAAAGACACAAAAGTTAGGTTAGATTTGGTGTTGACTTAACAATGGATGGATGATGTACTGAAGGTGATTCCCATCTCTCACAATATTAAATCCTTAACAGGCTTCAGAATTACATGACCCTAAAAAAAAAAAAAAAAAAAAAGCTGGAGAACCACAGAATACATGCAGTGATATATCACGTCACACTTTCTTAGACAGTGCAGTTGTTTTCCACATCTGTCCCTCTCGTTCTGTTCAAATTTTTCAACTGAGCTAAAATCTTAGGTGAAATTTTAATTATAGAGATTGAAGAACGTTATTAGTAGCATGGAAGACAATAAAAGATGAAGATGCATGAAAACCTTCAAGTATGAAGCAATGATTTTATGACAAGACCCAGGTATTAATGCAGGGTTGCAGGGGAAGTCACTGGCGAAGGTGGATGGTCATTTCATCAAAGGGGCAAAAGATTTTAACACAGGACAATCAACCATGCTCACCTATACACACTCTTATTTAATGGGAATTTGGAGGGACAGTATATTTAACATGCCTGTTTCGTTCCCCAGAGGAACATGTAGCATCTATGCTTTAATGGGAAGAACATTAATGCATGGATGGGTTGGAAGGAGTCATTGCAGATTTAAGATTTTATTTTAATTCTCACTATAGTCCTGGAAAATATAAGAGGTTAAACCAGAAACATGTTTAAATTATTCCAATTTATAGCTCTGTCAGGGTTATAGTTAGGGATTAACAGGGAAAGTTTATCCAGCTTGCTTTTATGAAATTTATATTTATATAGACAGCTTTTTGACCATCCTAGTTTGTTAAAAACACTGACAACTGGGTAGGTGAAAAACTTTAACATATGGAATTTACGTAAACAATCCACCATTAGTACTTTTAGTACTGCACCATTATTTTCCTTCTTTTTTTTTCAACTTTAAAACAAAACATAGACTCACTCTGTGATATTCTGTAAGCTTACAGAGGAAAAAAAAACAAAACAATTCTAGTTCTGAAATTGTCTAATTCCATAAGATTATTAGCTGAAATATGTGTACATGTACATGACAGTGGATTTGTCGAGGAAAACCAATGTGATGTTTGATCTTAATCTGCCTTTCTCTGAATCCTTAAACTGAGTCGCCGCAATCTAAGCTTTTTGTTGCAGTCTGGAGATTTAACTCACATGCTTCTGGTTTATGGTAAAGAGACTATAAAAAAAGAACCCTGTGCTTTTGGTTTTCTGACAAACCACATCAAACAGGAGGAGGGAAAAGGGTTTGAACAGGTGCAGAATCTTTGCGCGAGCACAGACAGATCTTATTTTGTATGGATCACAGCTCAGAAATGTCAGCTGTGGAGCAGCGAGATGGAACATTTTGAACCTGATAGATCAGTGTTGTGTTGCGGAGCATGTCTGGGTGAGTAATGAACTTAACTTTAGTGTGGCAGCATTATATACTGAGAGCCACGGAAAATCTTGGAGTTGGGTTACGCAATGATTCTTTTTTTTCTACCTAAACAGGAACTGTGGGGACATTAAACATTTTCACATCATGCTCATAAAAAATTGAAAATATGGTGAATACCGATATAAGATTAAATCAACTTGCTCAAAAGCATTTCCAAACAAAACCTGTGAAAGAATATAATAAAAGTGCACAAAACCTATCTTGAAAGTAAGCAACCGATCCTTATAGTGCTATAATGAATGTGAAATGTATTCTGAGGGCAATTCAAAAAGAACATAAACCTGAAATTATTTTTTTCCTTTTGATGTTTTGGCTGTTAATTGTTCTGTAGATTGATTTTCTAGGTTTCCTGTTCTGCTTAAACACCAAATAAAAGATGAGGTTAGGGCAGCAGGGAGATATCTAGTATAAGAACAAGAAAAAAAAAAAACATTTATATTGTGTTCACATAGCTTCTACCTAATCAGCAGAAAATATGAGACCAATCACAAGGTTATGTCTGTCTCTATGCTTTTTTCCAAACATATTTGGAGTTTAGAGGTACTCTGAAGGTGCAATTTAGTTTGGTTTCCACCTAATGCCGCAACTAGGCTCAATTTCCTTCTTGTCCTGTTTGCTAATCTTCTCAAAACCCTGTTAGTTTTATGGCTTGATCTAGCGACTTAAGGACGACAGAAAAAAAAAGCCACTGACCACAGTGTAAACCAGTAATTGGTTCACCTTGAAAGCCGATATGGCCGCCTTGACCTCTTGCCAGTCAGGCAGTCAGAAAGCTTCTCTCAGTCTTGTCCGTATGCCTGTTGGCTTGCTTTTGCTCCCATGGTCAGAAAAGCAAACATTGCAAATATGTAAAGTAGAAAAAAAATTCCTGGCCGACAGTTTACTTGCAGCTCAAGCAGTACATGAGCAAAAAGCAAGTGGGAAAAAGGGAGAGAGGCACATCTGAAGTTTCAATGAAACTGGAAAATGAAGACAAGACTAGGATATTCATGTGAGGAAGAAATTTGGATTAATAATCATAATGTGTATTTGAGTTAAGAAATGATAACAACCAATCTTTGTAAACTTAAAATAATCCACCTTTATACCTCCTTGCATAACCAGGATGTCTGAAAATCTTTTTAAGTTACACTAACAGTAGTTATTGGAGGACAGAGAAAAATCCAAGACCATAGTGTTTGTTACATGCTGTGACATTCATGAAACCTGTTCATTCAAATGTTATGCTCAGAGCTTTGCTTACTGCCTGACCTGTAGAATCAAGACATCACAATAGTAGAGCATGTCTGACAATAGGAAGTAGACTAAAAGATCTAACCTTGATCTACAGGTATAGAACTTGAAGACGAGATTACAAAGCAAATTGTATATTGTTGGGGTTTGGTAAGAGATTCAAAGCCATTTATAACTAGAGAGGCACTTTGAGAGGCAGATTTTCCCCCATATTGTGACTTAAACCTATAGCTAATACTAGCACATGATCTGGATCATTACAATTTTTTATGTATTGTTCTTTGACACGAAGCATACCTCTGGTAAACATTTTGTTAAGATCCATTCATAACTTTAGAAGTTATCCTGTACAAAGACAGACAAACACACACAAAAGCTCTCCTAAAAACATTACCTCCTTGGCAGGGGTAATTATTTGAAGGAGTAGAGGTAGGGGTAGGGATTCCCCAAAGTTGCCACCCTACCAAAACTACTCCAATAGGGTATGCAGAGCAAAGCAGGCCACACTTGTCTTGGTCAAGGTCGGTGTTTATTGGTAGGAGAGAAGCAGAGCAAAAATGGTATTATAGGGAGAATTAAAAAAAAAAATCCAAGACCTTTGGGAAAAAAATCTGTGGACTCGCAAGACAAAACTTTATCATTTTGGAAGAGTTGCTTTTTTTAAATGAACAATATCTTGACAGTAATGTGTGTTGTGATGTTTTTCTGATGCTGTGCTTTTTTTTTAGGATCCGAATAACTTGATATAATCCTGCATTTTGTTCTAAATCATTCATAGCAGTTTTAGCCACCAACCGTAGCCCAGGTAGTTATTAGGCTTAGAAAGAAATTACCTTTTCACGTTGTATGTTTTGTTTGTTGCATTACATTTGTCCCTTAGTGAATGAGACTGTGTTTTTTATATTTACTAATCTAATCTTTGTCTCGGATTAAACATGTGACAGTATAACCCCTTGGAAATACATCACAAAGACTGTTTTTGCAGCTCTGTATTGGTAAAATCCTATTGTCATTTCCATGAACATTTCCGCTATCTTAACAATGGTGCCAGAGTTTTTAGAATTAGTATTTGATACAAAATACAAAGAGTATGATAGCTGATGTCATTAAAATGCAATGTAGATTTTTAAATCCTGCTATTTCATTCCAGCCATTTTATGTCTTTACTAGGTATTTTGGAGATCAAATCAGTGGACGTTGGAGTGGTGGCCATCAGGGGCCTCAGCAGCAACCACTACCTGGCAATCGGAAAGAATGGAACTCTGTATGGAGCTGTAAGTACTTACTGTTATGCTTTTGCCCTAGCTATATACACAGGTTGCCTTTTAGCATTTGTAAAACTTTTAATTTATTTGAAGAATTTAATTTCTGTTAAGGTTAATTTGGAAACTGTTTGACGACGGTGTCTTCTTCGAGTATAAATTAAGGTGTGAATCGGTATTCTCAATCAAGTTCTGTTATTAAAAGGATCTGGCTTTTGCTATGATTTTAAGATAATAACATAGAAATTTTATAAATGTGTTTCCTGATCCATTTTCATACCTTTGTTTTTAGCATTCCCAAAGGGTTAACAAAAATGGAATCAAAAGAGGATAAATACAGTTTTTTAGGCTATCAGTTCCTACCAAAAGAATTTTACTTTTTTCTTCATTTAAATTCAGACAATCCCTGGAAAACCAACATTTTAGATCAGTAAGGCAACTAAGAAAATTATTTACAAGGTTGGCAATAACATAAAGTTGTGTACTATTGGATTCACAATTATAAGAGCTTTCATTGTGTCTATGACAGAGTAAATGATATCACTCTAAAAAATATAAATTAAAAAGTAGAAGACCCACAATAGATCCTTGTGGAACACCGTAAGCAACATTAACATTATCAGATTAAAATTTCCCAAAAGAAACAGATAACATTCTATCAGTAAATAAGTAGACAACAAATTAAAAAAAGGAACCATTGAGACTTTTTATAGCATTGAAGGCACTGAAGGATTTTAGAATGGCCAACAGCTTCTGTGCTGTGGTTGGTTCTAAACCCCAACTAGACTCATGCGAACTTCCCTTTTATCAAATTACACAAACCATTATAGTTTTGGCTAAAATATATTTGAATGATCAATTATAAATATATACATCAAACCTTTGCAATATATTAAGGGACTGAATGAAATACTTAAAATGGACTACTGACTGTTGGAACCAGTTTGTCTGTGTCAACTCTCCTGTCTCTGCTCTCCATTCAGAAAAAAGGAAACATAATCCAGCAGGTTTTTTATCCAGCTTCAGTCCCTTGAGGAGAGAAGCCCTTGTTTCATCTGTTTTCTCCCTCTTTATCCTATTTTCTCAATCTCATTCTGTTCCTCTCCTTCCTTTACTTTGAAAGACCCGTTTTTCAGCGTGTCTTTCTGGAGCTGCAGCACAGATGAAATGACATACGGTGTCGGTGAAAGAGAAAAAAAAAAGAAAAAAGAGATTTTGTTGCACGACCTGAAACTGAATTCCCATGACGTATTCTGCCCGATGCAACACAAGCCAACGTTGGCGGTTGGCTGGTGAGGGGCGGGCATTGGATTACACTTGATTGCTTTGCACAGTGACTTCTTTATACGGTAGTAATCAATTGAAATCATTGTTTGATTACATCTCCAGACAAAATATCAAAAACTGTCATGATTAAAAAGTTTGATAAGGAATTTATCAATGATCAACTGCACAGCATGTTGACAAAAAGTTTTTTCCTTTTTCAGAAGATACATTTTTATACTATTTAGATCTGGTCTAGGTATTTTAAAATTGATATATTGCTGTTATATTAATCTGATTTAATTTAAAGATAGACTAAGTCCCACACACACAAAGTTTAAATGCTACACAGTGTCTGGTAAATATTCTCCTTTCGCTATGAGAACATTCAGTTTTGTTTCTGGAACCAATTTGAACAGCTGTGGCCAGATTCAAGACTGTGAGCATGGGTGTGCGTGTGTGTATGGATTGTGGGGGGGTGGGGGCAAGAAAATTTTTTCTTCTGAGTATCAACTGCATCCAGTTAACTGCCTACTTAAGTGACGTTAGCCTTGAGCACAACGGCAGCTTCCAGTAAACTGACAAAGAACGCTCCCTCAGATCTTTTCTCTCCTTGTGTACCAGTCATTGCATTAGTATTGTAAAACTCAGACATCGTGTCACAATGCTCTGTACCTGCAGCAGGCTTTAACCTCCGAAATGTCATGCTTTACAAGATCCTCTTTTCTGAGCTTCATCCAAAATAAGATCCCATTTTGATGTTTTACTGCTGGCCTTAATTACACATGGGAATAGTCCTTAAGCAATGGCTTACAGTTTGTTGATTTGTGTTGTCAGAAGAAGTGAAGGAGGAAGATGTCTTTACGGTGCTGTACAGAGCCAGATAAAAAGAGAAAACCGTTTCAACATACTGCATGAGTTGCAGTCTATAAAAGGAAAGTAGAGACTTAAAGAGCAGCAGTCTTTAGAGCTACAATGAAGGAAGGTTCGCAAAAGCAATTGACATTACTCCTTAAAGTTATTATGATGGTGAAAGATTAAAATGAAAGGTTATGATTGGCTCTAGGGGGGCTGTATTAAAGAAAACATAATTTCCTCTAATTTTAAATTGACACCTGTTAAAAGGTTGGAACAGATGTACCTTACCTGTAGGAAACTCTATTAGCATATTTACTTAGTTGACTCCAGAGTCCTTAATTGAAGCTAATGGTAAGTCCAAGAGAGGTTAAGATCTAAGTGAACAACTACAGTCTAAGAACAACTCAAAACAAAACAAGAAAAACATCTTGGTGATTTATATCAATATAGCTTTTATGAACCTTTAAAACATTGTCATGTTAGCATTGGTTAATTACAGAAACCTTTGATCGGAGGTCAGAGGAGGTGTGCAAAAAGCTGTCTCTTTGTGGTAATATTTTCTCAAAAGGTTCACAAAGGTGCATTGAATATCTTTAAGTCGTTTGTGGGGGATTTTAACTTTAGGTTAAAAGTATGTGCTTTTAAATGTCTTTTTAAACACGGACAATGTCCCATTAAAGATAATTTATTATATAAATTTATTATATAGATGTTATCTTCGTTATCTTTTATGTGCCATGTACCATTAAGGAGTTCCACAGTATATTGTACCTACAAGAAAGAAGAAATACACCAATCAGAAGCCCAGGTCTCAGTAGAATAAATGAATCAGTTGCAGAGGGATTTAATCTAACTAAATAATCATTACTATGCTTTAAATAAGTGCAGAGTTTTTGAATTTTATGTTCCACGTAAATGTTAAAGCTCTACAAGGAAAGTTTAATATCAGAACAATAATTGTATGAAAAATTAAGTTTTTAAACAAAGATTCATGTATTCGCCATAATAACTGGTTGCGCCACACTTTGGCACAATAAGTACCGCAGCGAGTTTGGAAACAACTGATAATGAGTCTTCTACATTGCTATGGAAAGATTTTATGCCTGCATGTTTCTGATTTATTTCAGCCACACTGGTGGGTTTTTTCAAGCATGCACGGTCAGTTTAGTGTCACACTACAGCTCTGATCTCCAACGGATTTAAGTCTAGATTTAATTTCGTTGGGTTTGATCTTATAAACCGTACAGAAATGGGTTTGATTAGTTTTATAGGGATTTTTTGTGACCATGATAATTTGTCATGTTTTCTTGTAGTAAGTTTGGTAGTAACCCGCCCTTGGGAAGCTTATTCCACTATTGCTTGTTCTTTTATTTGTGGATATTGGTTCTCAGTGTGGTTCATTGAAGTTACAAAGGCCTTAAGAATGGCTCTGTAGCCTTTATATATGTATAAATGTCAAATACTTGTTGTTATCAATTCTTTGCACTCTTTAAATCAGGGCATGAAGTGTTGCTTTTTTGCTAATTTTTTTTCAATAAAAATGTGTTAGTCACAGATAATTCATGATAATAGAAATATTCTTTTACTTAAAAAGTTAACATTATTATCAAAAAAATATCTGTGCAACAAAAACAAAAACAATCTTTACGGCACAAATACTTCACAGCACAGTTGTTCAAGGAGACTAAAGCATTTCGGTTTATTACCGGACAACAAAGAGAAGCTGTAATTATGTAATCTTTGAGGTTTTTTGCATGGAATTTGGCTCTAACAATCATCTTGTAAAACTGGATTAATCTTCTGCCAGTAGAATGCCTCAGATATGTCTGTGTACAACCACACATCGTTCTGAGTGAACACATCACTCACTCATCTGTCTCTGTGTCAAGCAAAAGGCCGCTTGGAGCCACTAGCAGCGCTTAGAGATGCTGCTCTTTCCAGAGTAGAGAAGACAGTACAAACATTAAACATGATTTATAACCTTTGATACTCAGTCTTGTTTCATTTTTACATGTTTCCTGTCCACAGAGGGAGTTTGGTCCTGATTGTCGTCTAGTTGAGCGCATCGAGGAAAACAAGTACAACACCTACGCTTCTGCTGAGTGGAGGACCAAAAAAAACAAGAACATGTTTGTAGGACTGAATGCCAAAGGAAAACCAATGAAGGGAAAGAAAACACGGAGGAAAAACACATCAACTCACTTCTTGCCCATGGTGGTGCCACCACGATGATGGGATGTATCAGAAAACTGCAGGACGTTTATGATGGCGACATCGGACAGATCTGATCATGGTCTGTAAAATGCACTGAGGGAAGCAAAATTAAACTTATAGAGAGTGGACTTCTTGTTTGGACAAGGACGATTCTATTTTTAAAAAGATATATATCAGTATACATGTATATATTATTTTTGGTTCTAAGTTATAAAGTACACTGGCACAATGATTACAAAAGAAACAAACAATTGTGCCAAAATGCGATTAAAATATTCACATGCAAAACTTTCATGCATTTCTGGAGTGCATGAAAAAGAGATAAAGGTACTGTTAGAAACCTGACCAAGAAATTTAAAAAGAGGAAATAGGTTGTTCATGACACCACCAATGGATATCTAACGGTAACATGTCTCTTTCTGCAGATTTATTTATTTTATGTTATATTTAACAGAGATAAAGAATAGAAGACATATTCTTCTCTTTTTACCTACCATTTATGTTTCTCTTTTTAAGCTACTAATCATCTTAACCTGTATAAATAAAAAGAATATATTTGTCTTTAACTTTTTGAGTTCAATATTTGAATTTGACACAAAAAACACAACTTAAACACTGGCTATAAAGAAAGACTATGCAATTAAGGGTTTACAATTTTGTGAAATGTTTTTCACGTGATAAAACGCTGATAAAATAACTGCCTCTATGTGACTGAAGGTTCAGTTCTCAGTCTATCTTGACACAAAATTTTCAGCCATATCAGTGGTTTCTAGCTATCATAGCTGAAGCTGTGGGCTAACACTGTATATCCCTCCCTTTTGTCCAATGATTATTACCTTTGTTTTTATTCAGTTGGAGAAAATTGTGGCGCATCCAATTATTGATCTGTTCTAAGCATGTTGCCAATGCTCACCTGGTTCACCTGGTGACATTATGATATAAAGCTGTAGGTTGTATGCATAGTGGATGTTGCTGTCTGCTATAATCTGAGCTAAAGGGAGCACATAGATATTGAATAGGAGGGGCCCAAGAATGAAGCCTTGAGGAACTTTGCATGTGCTATTTCTGGTCTCTGATCTAAAGTTCCCTACAGACACACAGAAGTCCCTGTATTACAGGTAGTATTTAAACCAATTGGGCATACTTTGGTATTGCAATGGTTAGCACCAAGACCCATCTAAGGATGCCTTGACTTGGCCGACCTGGGTACAAATCCAGCCTGTGCACCTTTGCTGCATGACTCTCCCTCTCTCTTGTACCCCCTTTTCTGTCAGCTCACTGTACAATAATGAGAAACTAGTGCCTCAAAAATTATTTAAACCAACCTACTGCTGTACCAGACAGGATGACCCAGTTTTCCAGATTTTTTAATAAAATCAATTGACCAACAGTATTGAAAGTACTGAGGTCCAATAATACCAGCCTTATGGTTCTTCCACAGTTTGAATTTATACAGATTTCACCAAAAACCGTAATCAGGGCGGTCCCAGTACTGCGGTTGTCATGCAAACCTGATTGGACGACATCAAAGCAGCTGGTCATTAGAAAGAAGGAATTTAACTTTTGAAACACAACTGTTTCAATCATATAACACGGGAAAGGTTTGATATGGGTCTGTAGTTCTGCAGGATAAATTAGTCTTTTTTCAATAATGGTTTGACACGAGTATATAAGGATATGTTTATGATTTGAATCAAAACAGATGTTAATTATATCTCTGAGGTCTCGCTTTAAAATTTTCATAGTAAACTTCTTTCACCACCTTTGTTCAGCTTTCTTATAACAAATTCTTTGGTAATTAGATTAGCGGAAAAATGCTGTCAAAGTAAAGAGAAGTATGTACTCATAAAGCAACATCAGTAACAGAAACATTTTAAACAAAAGTTGTAACCAAAAGTTTGATTGGACACATGAATACCAACTAGATTTGTAAAATTAAAAAAAAAAAGTTTTTGGGCTGCTTTGACTAGCCTTTTATTTGGGTGCAAATTGATAGGATGTGTCATTAATGAAAATATTCTGAAATATAACTTAAGAATATAAAATTGTATCACAATAGAATTGTGTTGTTGTTTTTTAAGATCTTATAGTTCATCCAATTACTTTTAAATTATAGTGGACAATCTTCTTTCAGCTTTCAGTTCTGGAGAGATTAGCTTATCTATTAATTGTTCTGCTTTTTTGTCCTGCTCATTCTCCCTTGTCTAACAGGTGCACTTCCAATGTTTACGTATTCTGTGAGCTTTGCTTTTAGCCATTCATTGTAGCTCCACTACTGTCACTGTATGCTTCAAAAAAAGCTGATAATTGCATGAAGTAAGCTGTCTTAAAAGTTTATGAGAAGAACAGGAAGGTCCCAATAGATCAATATAGGACCAGGTTGTATTTGAGATATTTTTCATTCTTTTGGAGAAGAGAAGGTAAAGCAGGCGCACTGAAATTGCATGTGTGCAGTATGCAAGTCATTCAAAAAGTTACTTGGAGATTAAAAATCTATATATCTGACAAAATCGTCCACTATGCCTTTGGTTAGCAACAGAAATAATATCATAAACCAGGTTTAAGAAAAAAGGTACACAATTTTCATTTTTTCTTTCACTATAGCAGTAAGCTGGCCAAAATTAACAAATGGCTAGGTATATAAGACAACCGTCTACTAAACACAATGAAAATAGCCATATCATAATTCTGTCATGAATATAAAAGTCTGAAAAGAAAAGAGGGCTCTGCCAAATGTCAACATAAATATGTGTTTAAACAGCCCATGAGGAGTTATTTCAGGTGTTTTTAAGGGAGTATCTGTTTAGTAAAAGTTATCTTACTAGAAGCACCTTCTTGACATCTTTATGTAGTTTAAATCTGCAATAGCCAGCTGTATAAAGCTTGCTGGAGTCTTAAAACTCCAATCTCATAAATTTCAAAGAGGTTGAAATAACCATCGTCCCATTTATATAATTTAACAAGAACTTTGTTGATTTCTTATAAGAAACATTTTTTTCAGTCTCAACTTAAATATTTGATAATTGGAAGGTTCAGTCCCAGCCTCCCTTATCACATGTACAAATATCCTTGAGCAAAACACTGTACCTGATTTTTCATACGATCTGCGTGATGGTGATGAGTGTTTGACTGATGTGTATTAGCAGAAAACAGCTATATATGTTGAGTCCATTCATACAACCTTCCTGTGTTATTCATGCTTAAAATTGAACAACTAAAGCAGCTACCTGAAAGAAACGTGGTAAAATTCTATAAATGTTGACAGTTGCCCCCTCTAGCGACAAGTTGAAATGACACTAGTATTGTGCACTGAAATGGGAGAAAAGGAAAATCACCAGTTTGCCACTGCAGGTTTTTGCTAAGAAGCATAATGTCAATGTAGGGGAGAAAGTTATAAAAAGTGAAGTTATGCTATCTTACCTTTTTAGGGAAAAGATGGTAAACTGTGGAACCCTTTCAATTCCCGGGGCAGATCTAAGCCCCCAAACTGCCCCAAAATGTACTCTAACCTCATTTTGTCGCTGATCAATATCCAGTTTATCCCTTTGCATGTCTGGACAAAAGTTTTATTTTTTTTTTACCGTAAATCTTGTTTGGAGTCTGTAATGAGGTATAAGGGGCACTTGGGGACTGGTGATCCATTTTCCAAATCAGTCTCCCATGTTCTCTTGCTAATGCATCAATGGCTGTGTGGAGACTGATCAAGGTAGGTTCAGCACTTCACAGACATACTCATGCCCAGTGAATCCACACCAAATCACTTTCTCATGAACTAACAAATGAAGCGTATGGAAGCAACTTAGAACGTTTCCTTTTAATTAACTTTAAGTGAGCCTTTTCTGTTTTTGCTGTTAAGTGGTAAATTTCTACATCAGGTACTATTTGCAAATAAAGACAAGGAATTCTGTGTGTTTAATAATACATATTCTAATATGTTCTGTGTTTTTTTTTCTTGGATTGCATGAATAAAATACATTAAGAAAAAAAAAAATATAAACATATTAAGCAAAATCTTATTATATCAATCAATGTCTTGTCTTGACATGAAAAATCGAAATAACATATAATGCTAAGATTGAAGAGCAGCTCATTGCCTTCCAGGGTGATCATCCTACACTTGAAAGAGAACTTTCAGAACGAAGATGCAAGGTGGGAATCTGTAAAAGATTAGAGTTTAAAAGAAGCCCAGCAGACAACCTGGCTTATTACTTCAGGCGTTTCCATTTCTCTTAGCTCAGACCTTTGCCTGACAAGTACACATGGCAAACATGGCTTCCTGGAGGATAAACATAGTCTTTTATGTGATAACAACAAAGACAAAACAGGCTTTAGAAATTCACACACACACCAACACACTCCCACAGAAAAAAAGAGACACACTTCGGGGGCTGGGTAGCATCGTGTGTGCATCAGTGTGGTCTCAGCAGCTGGGAAAAGTCTCCTCCTTGACCTTACGTGTCTGAAACCTGTTGCTGTGCCCCCCGAGACAGAAAGACACATGGAGCAGGGCATATGGTATAACATAAATATCACAGCTTTGTTTATCACCTGATTCTAATTAACTATGACGTCATGCTTTCTTTCTCTTCTCTGTTATTTCTTAAAGCCCCACTCTTGCGCTTTTGCCCTTCACAGTTACAGCTCAGTTTTTCATTTTCTCACACATTAGGACATTTTCTCATGTGTTTTCCAAGTCTAGATAGATTCCAGCTCCTTAACTGGATCAAAGATGGAGCAAGGTTATCACATCAGCACACACAAACATAGTCCCCCTCTCTGCCCACATGGTTGCAATGGGTGTAACATCACTTTCAGACTCTTTACCTTCTCCACATTTATGATGAAATCCACCATTGTTCGTCCATCTCAATGTTTATCACAAGAAGGCCCTCTATCCTCTTATTATAGGCAGGAATCCTCGACTTCCAATGGTCATGTCAAAACGTGAGTAAGTATGATGCATCAGAGGGCGATTCAAATAGCCTTTCATCCTCCCAGGGCATCTAGTCCTTTGTTTATATGATTACTTGGGTGTTCTGTAAACGACATATCAAGTACAATTACTTTGAAATGTGTTCAAGACACTGATACCCCTCCTTATTCCCTCCCTCATAAAGTTCAAGGACTGGCATTCCTAGCCTGAAATGTCTTAATTATTC